CCCCCCCCCCCAAGAACTGAATTTATTTCCCGTTCCGCGAATTAAGGTCTCCACGGCTTCACGAATAACGGAACAACGTTCCCTTCGCCGATCGGTTTGGCTGCATCGTTCAATACAGAGCTCCTTCAACAAGTTGCCCAAGCGATTGGTTCGGAAGCAGAAGGCTTAGGATTTACTCAAATATTCGCGCCCGTTCTTGATTTGTCGCGCGAGCTCCGCTGGGGACGTGTTGAGGAAAATTACGGTGAAGATCCGTTCTTGTGAGTGAATGTTTCACTGCTAGAGGGAGGAATATCAATATCATCATCATGATGCATCAAATGCACAAACGCTGTGGATTAGATCGCCTTCACCAGTTCCCATGTCCGCCTCTTTGTGTTTCCTTACCGCTTGGCTAACGTTTCGTACCCAGAACCGGAGAGATGGGTCGTGCGTATGTGACTGGTATTCAAATGGGCACACGACGCAACACAAGTGACACCGCCGCCGCTCGCATCGCTGGCACTTGCAAGCACTTCACCGCGTATGGCAGCCCTCAGGGTGGCTTGTGAGCTTTCACCTTTCCTATCGAGTTTATTCCGACTCGCTCATCTGTGCGCGGCGTCTGTGATGCGAAAATGCGCAGGAATCTCGCACAAGTTTCTGGTGGAGAGCGCGAACTACGCACATACTACCTGCGTCCATTTGAGCGCGCATGTGCAAGTACGAATCCCGCCATTGACGGAGGTAGCCTTGCGCTCAGTCTTATGAGTGCCTATGCGAGCTATGATGGGATTCCAACCATTTCGAACTACCGTGCGTGTATCATCGCCTGTATCAGCATTTTACATGGCGAATAAGGCGCTGATCATCTCATAGATATTTTGACGGAAATTGTACGTAGTTTTCTAGGCTTTCGTCTACCTTCTTCCTAGTCATGGTTACTTGCCGTCCTCGACTAACTCTATTTCCTTCGAAGCTGCGTGAAGAATGGCAGTTCCCGTACTATGTTACGACAGATGCAGGTTCCCCTGATTTACTTATCACCTGGCATGACACTTGCGCAACACGCGAATGTGCCGCCCAGCAAACGCTTGAGAATGGACTCCAGATGGAGATGGGTGGTGGTTCGTATACGTATCTCACCCTCCCCGGTAAGTTTATGGGGGTTCGCCTCATTCTTTCCCTTCATCCGGCCCTTGAACACTTTCCGCTGTAATAATCATACTGTGACTTGCAATGGTCGATAAGAGTCTGTGCTAATTTCTCATCCACAGACCAGGTAGCATCCGGCACAGTAAATGAGTACTACATAGATGAAACAGTTAAGACGGTGTTGCGCACTAAATTTGCTCTAGGACTCTTTGAAAGTAAGTTCGAACAGGTCTTATCTTGGTGACCGGAATACATGACCTCTCTCCTGCCAGATCCGTATCCCTACGGAGATTATCTTTCGACCCTGCGCACGCAAGCGACGCGAGATATTCTGCACCAGATGGAGCAAGAGCAGATAGTGCTTCTTGAAAACAAAAACAACGTACTTCCTCTTAGCAGAAATATTAGTTCTATCGCTCTGATTGGGCCGCAAGTCAACCGAGTTACGGTACGCTATTATAACCCATCATTCTGGTAAGCACTTCACAAGCCTAATCACTCATTGTGAAGTATGGGGATTACGTCTTCTATAACGCGACATTGAACGGTATCACACCACTCCAAGGTTTCACTGAACTCCTTGCAAATACTTCTGTCGAGATCAATTTCGCGCAGGGCTGTGAGTTATGGTCGAACGACGAGTCGCAGTTCTCGGAGGCGATTGCCGCTGCCAAAGCATCCGACGTTGCCATTGTCATGGTTGGTACGTGGAGTCTCGATCAGACACTCCTCTGGGAGCCTGGTACAAATGCAACAACGGGAGAACACGTCGACTTAAGTAGCCTTGATCTTGTCGGTGCGCAGATGCCCCTAGTCCAAGCGATCCAGGCCGTCGGCAAGCCGACAATTGTCGTCTTCGTCAGCGGGAAGCCCATCTCGGAGCCCTGGATTCAGGCTAGTAAGTGCTCCTGCTGCCTGGAGATTACCAAGGTGATTGACTCATGAAAACCAGATGTTGACGCAGTTGTGCAACAATTCTATTATGGAGAACTCGGAGGGCTGGCGATCGCAGAGATCATCTTCGGCGATGCTAACCCTTCAGGTGGGTTCGCTTGCGCAAGTGCAAGTATAATTAAACAGCTGAAATGATATTTCGTGTACTTGCAGGCAGACTTCCTGTGTCGTTCCCACAAAACGTTGGAACAGCTCCGGCGTTTTATAACTACCTAAAAGATGGTCGACCCGTTTCGCCTGGATACATCACGCCAAATGGGACGCTCGTATTCGGACACCAGGTAGGCTGCATAGTTTTAGTTACCACTGACCTCAAATCCATAACCGTATCTGTAGTATGTTTTGAACACGCCAGTGCCAATCTGGAGCTTCGGACATGGCCTAAGTTATACGTCGTTTAACTAGTAAGCTCGTTGCCTTCTTTAAAAACAGCGTTTAGACCCTGTTTCATAGTACCGACCTCGAGCTGTCCTCATCAACAATAGGAACCTCAGATGATTTCAATGTCACCGTTACCGTTCATAACACTGGCGCCGTAGATGGCAAAGAAGTGGTCCAGGCGCGTTTATCCGATGTCATCTTGGGAATCCATCACTGACCCACCCTCCGTACAGGTTTACCTGACAGACGTTGTCAGCTCTGTCGTAACACCGAACCAGTTCCTCGCTGCATTTACCAAGGTTTTTGTCCCGTACGTATCTCGGCGCCCGAACCTGTTACCGTTGTGCGTCTCGCTCACATGAATATGCAGAGCTGGCGGGGCGGAGACAGTCACAATGCAAATCAATTCCACCCAGCTTGGACTCTGGTCCTTGAACAATGAATGGGTCGTGGAACCCGGGAACTTCACTATCAAAGTCGGGACGAGCGCTACCACGTTCCTCAACACTACCCTTATCGTACAGTAGACCTCAGACGGCATGTATGGCCGAAGTGGGACTATTTGAGTGGCCCTTGACATCACGTCTACAAGCTCATGTCTTGGAGGATGAAGTTGAGCTCGCACTTATCTGTCAATGAGCACACGAGGCTCTGCGCGTCAGAATCACAACGCTATGCCGATTCGGAGAAGTTGAGAATGCAATATATTAGCTGATAGGCGGTGCTTGTGCTGATGGGCTCGTCCGTGATCTCACTCAACATCAGATCGACTCCGGGAATGCGGTTTGCAGAACTCTCTGGTATGAGAAATAGGAATACGGATACAGAGTGTTCTGATCATACGTGAGAGGATACAGACCCCGAGGGTACAGCCCATTCCACCATCTCTGGAGCGGTGATGGAGCGTTTCTTTTGTAAGAGAGGGGATACTCCGACGGCAAGCAAGGCGCATATGGTTAGCCAACCTAGCCAAGCAAAAGCCGTCATGGCAGCAAGGATACGACATGTCACAAAAGTGTAACAGAATGACAGATCGGGCCAAACACTCTACAGAATAGCTGTTTTGGCAAGGTGGATAAACATGTGAAGCGTAATTACTCACGCTAGCCATCGCAGACCCTATTAGCCAAAGAAGCCACAAGACAGCAAGGGCAAGTACTTCAATCACAGATGAGGACAGCTCGTGGAACGACCAGGGAACGAGTTTATCTGATAGCCCGAGTCTGGATTGCGGTTAGTACATATCCACGAACATCGACTGCGAACGGCTACTTGCATGAACGGCGAAAAACCCACGGCAAGTAAGGAGCTGACTAGCAGTTCCACAACCACAGGATCTGTGGAAGAGAAACTGTCAGGATCCGTTTCCTCTCAACGGCCATCAAGCGGCTTCTGCCTACCATAAAAGTCCACGCCACCATTGAGAGTGTCCCCTTTGGGAAGATGCAAGGTGTAATTTAGACGGACGATAGTAAAACAAAGCACAAGGGCAGAGAATAACCACTGGGCGCAAGAGACGACGGTAAGCCGCGACTGAGTCCGAGAAGGGACTGATTACATACCAGCACTACGTACAGCGACAGTCGAAGTGAAGATACCCTCATGGTGATCCACGCCACTGTAAGATGGGCTTAGGCTGCCAGAGCCGACCTTGCAAAGAGAAAAGAGATGGAGACTCGGTTGACTTAGTGCAAGCGCAACTCGCACGAGTTGCGTTGCCACTTGAACGTCGTCATGGTACCAGACACTTTCAGTGTATCCATATTAGCCTGACGCAACGTGGCATTTTGCGACACATTACGACGGATTGAGGCTTTTGTCCTGACTACGATGTCACTTCGGTCAGTCCAACAGTACAATCCATGTATAGGAGACTGCGATATGACGGTAAGGAGGATAGCCATGACTCACGAGGGAAGATTCCACGTGATCCAAGCTGCCCAATTTACCCAGCGGCGCTACCTTACTTCTGTATCCGCGGAGACTACAGTAATTCTTATGTCTTGACCAAAAATCTGAATCTTTCTCCAGCTCTTTCAGTGCGATATGGCCAACACGGGACTCGGCCCTTGTATTTTCTAATTGCCTCAGGATCTACTCATTTTTGCAACACGATTTTGAGGCGTACCATGGACATTTGTATCGACGTCTTTTTCAAAACAAGCAATGTCGTTACTCAAGCTTGGTATCGCTTATTGTTCATTATCTTTCTCTCTCGCCTCGTCGACTGATGTTTTTGTACACCGTTATTCCCCGGAGGACCGCTCATCTATCGATAGCCTGATTCAATTGTTACACCTGACGCCCTCGCCAGGACGACTATGCCCACTCGTATACGTCGCCGTCTTGGCCATCCTGACTGCGCAAACGAGTGGTATATATGCAGTCAGTCCTTGTGAACGTGCAGTTTACCACACCTCAGCGCCGCCTATCCATAATCCAAGGGCTACACAATATGATGGACGTGCAAGTAATCCGAGCAGCAAGTCTCGCTCATCGCATTAATGCAAGCCCACCATACTATGTCGTAGACCTTCCTAAGGCGGGCCAGCGCCTGATATTCTGCGACAAGCCCTCGACATCCGAGGGGTACGCGAGCGCCATTCGTATCATGGAGGAATTCTGCCAGGCGAAGCTGGTGAGCAAGAAAGCTCAGAGGCGTAAAATACAATCCATCATTCTGTCGTGAGGTTCATTCTTTGTCTGGTCATAACGGGAGCTGACTCCAGAAGGTTCACAGCGAGATCGCGCACGTTTCGGATGAATATCTGGAACCTATGCATATGCTAGTCAAGCTTACGCTTCCGACGTCCTCCGGAATACCGACAGCCATCTCTGCTCACGTCTATGTTACCGACTCCATCCCTAATGGGAGCTATGATACAGCAAATGTGTTTTGGTCGAGTGACCAGGAGCTGCTTGAACATGAGATAGCTGCTCTTAGGGAGGCTGTAAAGCTGTAAATCGACACGATCGGTGAGTTAATTCTCTTAGATTTTAAACCACGATATCGAATTCGTTGGATGTCTGCTTCATAGATACTCATATGACTCTACCTGATTGGGATCAACCGGCGTGCGTTGTAATGGTTGATCCACGTGTATTTTTATGTTCCCTTGAATATGCTTCGCAAAGCGTGGCAACACGGGTGTAAATATGGGTCTCGGAATCGAATATCTCGTAAATGACCATCGACCTGTCGTGGACTCTCAATCTTTATCATATTGGTACTCAACAGAAGTGTATGGTAAAGAGAGACTCAGTCCGGGATATTATAATCGGGGACTAGGGGAAGTACCTATAGTAAATGTCGCAGATTGAGGTCTGCGCGAGTGCATTCATCACGCACACGCGGATATAGCGTGTCTACGAAACACGCACGGACTCAAACAATTAAGATAGATAACTACCCGCACATGTCGATAGATGCTTATATAAAGACTGTATATAAGTACGTAGGATTGGAACAGAACTTACCTCAGGCCGGAATATTATAATCGGGGACTGAAGTCAACGCGCTGGCGTCTATCGATACGCAGCGGAGTTGCCGTGTAAGGAAAGTGATAGAGAGTAAGTAAGCAAAGTGTTTTTATAAAATTGTATAGAAGTAGTCCGTCTTGGACGTATCCACCACAGTATTGAATAAGGCGCAGCATCTGAACAACTTAGCCATCCAGCGATTTGCATACCATGGGACTGAGTTGCTGGCTGTATTACTCACGATTTGATTCAATGACCTCCACCCGGGCACGCGCTCAGTTTGATTATCTTTTCCCGACTGTTCCTCATATATACTGTCTTTATTGTTTATGTCACAATTGAATTGATTGCTTGCCGAACTCATCGAGAGTTAGCGAAAGGTTTGTTTCAGCCACTAACTCGGGGTATGGGTCCTTGTTGATGCTTCCTTTTTTGGAAGAGAGATAGTGCACGTGGCAGGCTGTTTCTTATTTTCTGCAGTTGGCGGCGGCTGTTGCTGGGTTGCACAATACCTGCACCACGGCATCTCTCTCCGCAAGTTATCTTGGACTTGCTGTTGTCTCTCCTATATTGCTGTTATTGTTAGTCGGCCTTATCACTGTCGTCATGCATGGACGTCGCTGCGTACTCTTATTGTATTGTATTCTAAGCACTGTCGTCGAATGCAGAGTTTGACATCGTGAGTTCTCTATTTAGTGGAATGGAAGATTCCTGCGCCTATTTTACACCACCATACTTTGCAGACATGTTGCTTGCCTTTGATGCTTTGAGGCACCCCCGCGAATCGCATCGACTTAATGCTATACCGCCATACTATAGTGTCAACCTCGAAAAGTCCAAATTGCAGCTCATAATGTGCGACAAGCCGTCGCGCGGAACTCATTTCAAGAATATTATCGACATTATCGATGACTCTTGCAACGAGACGTTGCGCCACAAGAAATCAAAAAACTTTACCTTCACTTCCATCATTCTGTCGTACGTTTTTTCACCCTCATATTTGTGCCTATTCGTCTCTACGATTTTTACTCCTCATATTTATGCCTGTTCATTTCTACGTTTTTGTATCCTCATTTTTGTGCCTACTCGTCTCTACGCTTACTATACTTATGTTGTCTGACAGTGAGATTTCTCATTCCTCAAGAGAGCCGCTGGAGCCCGCCCACATGCTCGTGAAGCTCACGTTGCCAACGGATACCGGGATTCCCAAAGGTGTTTCCGCGCACGTCTACTACTCCGGAACATTTCCGTATGCTAGATACGATCAGGCATCTGTCTTCTGGAAAGATGTAGAGGACATTGCCGAGCATGAGATATGGGCGATGCGAGAAGCCGTCATACTTCCGTCCGATGTAATGGGTGAGTGCTCATATCCGCTAGGACGGTACTCGAAGCTGATGAATTCTGTTTGAAAAAAGGTCAAGCTAGAGCTGCGCAGTTGCCGAATTGACATTGAGAGGGGCTCTCACGCTGAGATAATGGACGGAAGGATCATGATATAGAACAAGAGTATGTGCCGTCTTTCAAGCTAGTAAGCTGCGCTCTCTGCTGACATCCCTTTGAAATTCATGATGTTCTTCAACGGCGCTTAGAGCTGGTTTATCTTTGATTCTGAAATTTGTAGTACTTTTTACACGGCTGTCGAGCTGCTGGCTCGGCCGTTTCATTTATCGGGCAAGCAATCTAAATAGCTTCTCATTTTCGTTTCTTAAGCCTACCGGTCGGCTCCAGCCTGAGCATTTGCACTCAAATACTCGTCGTGGTCGTTTCCTTTGAACTGATTGCTTCCGTGCAGGTGCTGTCAGTAATCTGTCCTTTCCAGATAAAATCCCAGGAAATGAAGATTGGCGTTAGAAAACTACGATGTTTATGGCCAATCGGTGCGGGGTCCTCCTTGATCGAAATCAAAATTTAACTGATGATCAAGGTTACGAGTGGATTGTTGAACCTCATACAGAAACAAATCGAGCTCGTCTATTTTGCGGTCGGACAGCCAGTGAACTGCGAGATCAACCTGGCTGACAGATCTCTGTGCCCTAGCCTTCTTACCGATCAGTTCCGGAGCTATTTAGGCGCGATGCTAGGAGACTAGGATGAGAACTATTGCAAGCTAGCATGGACGGTATTCTCGTCCGAGTATGGAACACGCAAACTGATCCATAGACATCTTCCTCCTTCCTCCCACGCGCATGGGACTATCTGGTACGGTGCTTTTCCTGCAGCCTCGAGGCGGAGGGCGTGGCGATACGTGTAGAGCTCACGGTTCGGGAGACCTCCGTCCCGAGACTTCGCCGCCAAATCAGACGGAGAGCCACGCATGCAGCTACAGTACAAGGTTCATGACAGGTCAAAGAGGCTAGAGCGTCCGAACGGGTGACTCACATGTCCAATACAGCGAGCGGAACCTTGCACAGCATCGGGATAGGAAGATGAGATAGGCCATGGCCACGATCTGGTGTTGATGTCCTTCTGGTTCAGAATGGAGGTTCGCCGCTGTCAGAACCAGATACAGAGTGCATAGCCTAACCCCAATGTATAAGGTGCCAGAGAGAATTTGAAAAGTGAAGTTGATCCCACATAAATAGCTAGGAGGCTTGTCCTGCAAAGGCGACAAGAAGCATTGGCCGCATTGAAACTAGACCAGGGGCTTGCCTTCCGTCTTATGGGCCATCATATAACATCCATAAGAAGGAATTCAAAAAGACTCGCAATACATTCCCTATTTATCATACACGATTCCACGGTGGGGAGCAGGTATGTGTGGTACTTCGGTCGAAACCACCAATCGAGACAACAAGGAGTGCTGAGTTCACTCTAGGTATCAATGGCTAGACCTGACTAGGACATCGCCAAGCACTACATGAGTTGGTGAGATACTGGATTAGGCATAAGATCCTGCGTTGGAAACAAATTCCCTTCACGGCGGTACAGTCACTTTACGGCGAGGGCATCTGCGACTCCTGCCCAGTCGCCGATCGCGATAGGTCGCGTAGAGCCACTGTCATCATTGGCCTCGTGCCGCCGCTTCGTGAGCTTCTCTGTGACAATACCGGTTCTGGTCACTCCATGATGGAGTGACCAGAACCGGTGGGACGTGCTCCCGAGAAGCAACACGAGGCCGACCCTGCAATTCGGATGCCCTATGAATGGGAGCTCTGCAAAGCTGTGAGGTGCCTGGCCGCAAAATCAGGTTCAGCACGCGATTTGCGATTTATGGAACGTAAGCTCGCGGGTGTATAAGGTTCACCCGAGTGGCAATTCGATTCGTCATTGCAACGGCACGATTCGACATGGCATTGAATGCCCAGATCGCCCAACTAGTAGCGCAGAGCGAGTATGACAGGAACGATCCCACGGATGGGCACCGTCTGAAGTGAGTCTGTATGAAGGCATGCACGCAAAGGATCGCTTAGTTATCGCCGACACTTGAACACGAGCCGACTCACTGCATTCAATGAAGCTGTCAGCCGGGGCTCATATTTGACTCGCGTCACGGGCGACGTCTTGCTGGTGTGGCAGAGGCCCATATTCGTTGTATTGGGCCAAACGCGCAGTGGGGTCCGGTAGCGCGCTTTCGAATGGGAAATGCGGTTGAAATAATGGAAGTGCGGCCGTGTCGTCCCGGGGAAAGGGAACGCAGTGCGGACAGCGTGTCACCGCGTCCATAAAGCTGGTAAACGGTTCTCAAACCACGTACGCATCATGGTTCAGGGTGTGCACCACGACGCCGCGTGATGCGGCGTCGCTGCTCGCCAGGGTCAGCGCGAGCCGACAAGTCCGGTGATTATGGCGTGGAACGGGCGTGCGGCGTCTTGCTCTTGGGGTTCGAGATCAGTGGCACTTCAGTGGGATCAGCTTGCTGCTGGGCCACGAGTGCCGTGCGTGGCCGGACACATTGTGAGAGAGCTCGGCGAGCACAAGAGAGTGGAGTGGAGCTTACTGATGGTAAGCTCGAGGGCGATGCCTGCCGCTCTAAGTGCGAGATAAGACATTGAGCGGAGATGAGGCCACCACGATCTGCGCGGTCGAAAGCAGCATGGTGAGGAGGAGTTACGTATAGTAGGGACTTTGCAGTCA